GACACTGCTTACACACGGGTGCCAGTCATGTGACATATGACGTCATCAACCATGTGATCACATGAAAAACTGTTATAACTTTACAAATATTTGACCAATGTCAGACATACATTGTCGGACCATATCATCTCTCAAAGCTTGTATGGGTCTCCTCTGATGCCGTTTGGTCTAAAAAAGTAACAGTATAGCCACATGCAGGCTTTGCTTTCATTTTTTTAAAGAAGTCTCAAAAACAGCCTGTATCAGTTACTCCTATTGTAGCCCGAGTACGCGCTCTCAGAGCGTCTAGCTTCAATTTAAAAAGCGGTCTGTGTGTTTTATTCCAGGAATCATTCGACCTACGAGCTCCAAACTGAATATACAAGATAATCGGCCGTTTATAATACAATCGTTAGGTTGATTTACATTATTACTTTATATCTTGACATTCAATAGTCACGGCTCCGAGATTTGGAGCACGGGTGGCTTAGCGGTGTGAGCGCTCGCCTCTTATCAATGCGACCCCAGCTCGATTCCCGCCGGGTTCGGTGTTGCATATGAGTAGAGTTGTTTGTTGGTTCTCTCCTGTGCTTCAAGGGTTTTCCGGCTTCTCCGGTTTTCCTCCCTCACCAAAAATCAATTCCAAAATTCCAATTCGATCACGGAATGAGGGCCACAGGTTTGTTAGCCACTGGCTATTAAGTGCTACCCTCGTGAAAAAAGTTTTAACACGAAATTATTTATTTACACTGTGAACTAAATAGAAATGCGTTTAGAAATGCTATTTTCCACAGTGTGTGTAAAAACGATCTTTCTCTTCTAATTCATTGCCACAAATAGTACAAAAGGGCGCCACCATTTACGCTTCATGCACTGGGGGCTACAGAGGAAGATTTTGTCGACAATATTGTACTCCCTGTGTTACTCTGAAAGGATTCGAATCTGTTGTGTGCCGCGGCTTTGTATATTTTGCCGTGAGTGAAATTGTGTAGTGCCGCGGAAATTTGTTATTTTGTCGTGAAAAATGCGTAGTGCCGCAAAGATTGGTTATTTTGCCGTGAAATATTGTGTAGTGTTGTGACAATTGGTCATTTTGCCGTGAATATTTTTTGTAGTGCCGTGTGAACCAGGGCGTGTGAATTTTGATTTGCCGTCAGACAGTTATGGGCCACCGGAGACATCACATCATTAGCATACTGGAAGCATAAACCTTGATATTCCAAGATGCATCACTCAAATCATATTAAAATATTTCACCATTCGACTATTCACTTCATGTAGAATCAATGCTGAAAATATTGAGTTAGGGGTCATAGCCGGCACTTTGAGTCGTAAAGGCTGCAATTTGTAAGGCAAATTGCCAATTCAATTCCAATGGATTTAATTTCAAAATAGCACTAGGACGCGGATGACTGGACCGGACTCGATGCTCATGTGCGTAGAGCTGATTTGCTTCTCTGGATTTTCTTGTTTCTCTCTCTTCTCAAAACTTTGCCTGGTCGGGTCAGAGGTTGTTTCAGGGTACATTTTCATATAAAGGGATTGATCTTTTGTGCTAAAGTATCCTACTCATCTTTTCTTCAAAATTATCGTATCAATTCTGACTGCTCTTTGAAAATTCAATGGCTACCAAACTTTCTCGATAAATTAGCGATTGGTATCCAAAAGTAAAATAAAACTTAGTCAAGCCATAGTTGGTAGAAGGGAAACCATTCCCCTCTATTAACTATGGTCAAGCCCATCATTTAACAAGGAATTGAATTAAGGATGATCTTACCTTTATGCAGCTTTCCTTACTCATGCCAAACATTGTCGAACTGAGACGGATCGTCACTGTGGCTCACGAACCGAACGATTCGTGAAAGTTATTGAAAAATGCATATCATTAGTTACACCTAATTGAAAAAACGAAGTCGGGTTCGAGAAGATCATCTCATTAGACTTGCTCCAAGTCTCGCAGCGCTTTTCTTTTTCCCCCGGCAATTCCATATCATCGAAGCTATGACCGAAAAAGGATTTTGTACTCCGAAATGTGTATTATATTTGCATATAGACATGTAAAAATGCACAGTAGAGCAAAGTCGGTCGACCTAGATTAACAACATGCCAAAGCCATGATGTATAAAATGTGCACAGGAAGGGAAAACTGCAATACGCATGAAATTAGCATAATTGTTTGTCCTTCCATGCTCCCTTTCGGTTTTAGCTTTGATGATATAACCTTTTTTTGAACCCGACGTTTTTTCAATTAGGTGTATTTAGAGAGGTTGACACCGGTGCAACTTATGTATTTGTGGCCCTCTATGTTTAATGAATGTAAAGAAAAACCAGTCAAGTGGATAAGTTATGAAGATGCTCATAAATACACAGGTAGCCCAAGCTTGGTTTCTGTGGTGTCCTGTTATAAGGAAATGTATGGGGA